GAGAAGGAGGAGAAGGAGGAGGAGGAGGAGGAAGGAGGAGGAGGCAGTAGGCGGAGGAGGAGGAGGAGGAGGCAGTAGGAGGAAGGAGGAATGAGGAGGAGTAGGAGTAGGAGGAGAAGGAGGAGGAGGAAGGAGGTGGAGGAAGGAGGAGGAGGAAGACGAGGAGGGGATCTTCTTATCAGGGGGGGAGAAGGAGGAGGGTGGAGGGGCACGCGTGGGAGGAAGGAGAGAAGGAGGAGGGTGGAGGGGAACGTGCGGCATCGGCGACCGAGTGCCCCCTCGTGCAAGCATCAGCTTGTGTGTTTTCTGTCGCACGCTGCACCCTTTGCCCCCCCCGCTTCAATGCCCGATGCACCACTGCACTCCCTCCCGACCGACGTCGGCCACCACGCGATCGACACTGGCATCGGGGGGGTAGGCGGGGTGAGGTGGGCCCAGAGGCACCGCCCAGCCTCTCGCCCGGCGAGGCCGCAGGGCGCCCGAGCACCTGCGAGCGGACGACGGGGCCAGGCCCCGGCAGGCCCCAGAAGCGGAAGGCAGTTGCTGTCCAGCCCTTTTCGAGAGCGTATGATCAGGACAACTGCCGAAACAACTGGCTGGCGGGGGAACATGGCTCCAGGATTGGCACCGGGCCCGGGGCAGGAACGCAAGCGGCGACGCAATGGGGCAAAGAGCGTCGCCGGCGTCGGCAACAACAACCCGGTGCAGAACGGAATCGGGAGGCAAATCTGCAATGCCGTGTCCAGTGCCCGCGTAAGGTCCAGACCCAGGGGCCCAGGTTGGCACCAACATTAACGTCGGCGGCTGCCTTCACCGAGGGCAGCTGCTCCCGACCTCGGGGACGGTTGTGAGACGCGGGCCTCCCAGGTGGCCGAGAGACGACCAACCACACCAAGACCTAGGACCATCTCCCCCCGGCGGAGGCAACCCTCTGAGCTTCGAAGAAGGACAAAAACACATTAACATAAACTGTCGACGCTCCGCGCGGATTTCTTGGAGCTGCACTGGGGGGGCCCCCTGGCGGCGCCTCCGGCGCCGCCCCTGGCGCGCTCCGCGCGCCAGGGAGGGGGGCCCAGCGCCAAGCCAGGACATCGGCGCGGAGCGTCGAGAGGCTATGTGACTGTTTTGTTGTTGTTGCTTCTTCTTCTTCTTCTTCTTCTTCTTCTTCCTCTGTATACAGAGGAAGAAGTTGGTGCTGGTGCCCCCTCCCAGGCCTCCAGCGGACTCCGCGGCCTCCTGCGGCGTTCCGAGCAGCGCCCGAGCAGCGCCCGCTCGCCGAGGCGCACGTCTGCGCGAGGCGCGGCGGCGGCCGCGGCCTCGATCGCGGGGGCCGCAGCGCGCCCTCGGCTGGTGGCCTTACGCTGCCGGCCCCGCGGCCCCGCGGAAGAGCGCCGTGGGCCAGCTCGGAGTGCGCGGCGGCGGGGGGGGCCCCGTCAGTGGAAGGCCCTGGGAGGCCCCGGCCTCGGGCGCCTCGAGAGAGAGAGTCGAGGCGGAGGTTGTCCATCGTCTTCGGCCCCTCGGGGCCCTCCCGGGGCCTCGGGGCTTTCAAGAGCACGGCTCGCGATCTGGGAAGTGGTCGTGAGGTCGGGGGCCCGTGTCTCGAACAAGTCGTGGCGTCGGACGCCTGGGAATGACAGGGCAGTCTTTTACGGGGTCTGTTGTTTGATGCTTCTGCTTGTTTTGGCGCCGTTTTTGTCCCGGTTTCGTCGCTCTTTCTTGTACGGTTCTGGTCCCGGCTCCAATCCCAGCTCATTCGGCGTTTCCAGGAGCATTGTTCTCGTCTTCGTAATTGAGCTTTCCGTTTTTATGTTTCAGCGACAGTTTTTTCTTCGAAAGCTGCAAAAACAGGCCCTGCCGTTTCCGGGGCCCGCTCAGGGCAGGCCCCTGCAGCATGCTGTGCTTGCGCGACCGCCCGGATTCGGCGCAGCAGTGTTGCAGTGCTGCACTGGACGGCGGCGGTGCCCCGGCCTGGCTTCCGCCGCCGTCGCGACGCGTCCTCGCGACGGAGCGGACCGCGCTCCCCTGTTTCGCCGAGCGCGTTCCACCACTCGCAGGGTGCCTCCTCGCGAACGTCAGGAAAAACGCATCTGTGCCTCGATGTGGTGGAGTTTTTTGAAATCCCCCGCGGCGGATCCAGGCCTTCCTTTTGCAAGTAGCTATACCTCGCGAGTCGTGCAACGCGCTTGTCCACTGCCAGACCTGTCTTGCTCGTCGTCGGCCCTCGCTTGCGGTCGCCCGCGCTCCTCGTCGGACCTGTCGACCTCGTCGACCCTGCCACCGCGCTCCCTCGCCGGACCAGGTCCATGCCGCTCCTCCACGAGGAGGAGGAGGAGGAGGAGGAGGAGGAGGAGGAGGAGGAGGAGGAGGAGGAGGAGGAGGAGGAGGAGAGGAGGAGGAGGAGGAGGAGGAGTGCCGCGCCGTCTCGGCGCGGCAGCGGCCTGGCGGCGTGGGCGCTCGAGGCGTCGCTCGCCCTCGTGCGGGGGGCCGCTCTGAGCCCCGA